ACTTGCAAATATTTTGACTCAATTGATAAGCAAAGTTTAAAAAGTTGTAGAGTTTTTCAGACAATCACTGACAAAAAACGAAATCCTTCAAGTTTATGTGAAAACGAAATATTGTAAAGAAATGTCAAAAATATTAAATAATAAGACCAGATGGAATATTTTACTTTTTATACTAGAGCGTTTTTATAAATTAAAAAAAGCCCTAATTGACTTAAATTCAGGTATTGAATTTACGGAATCTACTAACAACAGTTTCTATGTTGCTACCAGTGAAATTGGCTGTAGAGGCTTTATGTAAGAGAGATGCTAATCTTCTATCACCGGAAACTTTGCATTTATGCTGCGAAATTTAGGCATTAGACCATTAAGTAACAATATGAAGACCTCCCTAATTTAAAGAACAAAAGAAAGACGTAAAAATATATTATATCTCATACAATATATTCATAAAGGAGATATAGCTCAAAATAATTTTGGTTCAGATATAATATTTGATCGGGTAACTAAAACTGCTTTGGTAAATTTAATTGTGTTTCTCTCACACTCCTGATGGGAGAGACGCCAAAGTCTCAAGTTTTTTTCCGAAGAAACCACAATGCAGGTGTAGTACTACATGGCATTGGGATCATATATGTTAAAAAATTGAAATGGTTTAATTACGTCCGAGAAAATAAAACAAATTTTAAATTTTCTTTATTTTGCACATAATTCAGAAATGACAGCATACAATATTTTTTGCATTTTTACAGTACACCAAATTTTTTTTACAAAATATCAGATTAAAAAAAAACATGGTTTATATTAACATTATGAATTCTTCATGAAGCCCTTTGGTATCTATAGTGAACTTTGGTATCTATAGTGATCGGCCTTTTGTACCTTAACCAATGTGACTGAAATCGACTGTAAAGGGTCTCAACACTTCGTTCACTATAGATACCAAAGGGCTGGTTGGTCATCTTGATGAAGTCTTTGATGTAAGAAAATACGACATGAACTTTTGGAGTCACAATTCCCTTTTGGACAGCAAGAAATGAATTACGAAAATCATCAATTTTTTTTGCATATGACTCATCCAGTTTTTTCCCAAAGCATGCTGAAACAACAGCACTAAATGCTCAAAAGGCCTTTATTATGTCAAAAACTTGAAAGGCTGAACTTTTTTCAGCAAGACTTTGAAATAGATCCACATTTTTCAGGAGCTTGTGACAATGATTGTCTGCAAATTGACCTTCATGGAATGACTGGGGTTGGATATGAAGCGCTATCAGCCAAATGTCTGCTTGGGGGCAGCGTTCTCTCAGTATTTTGTACAAATGATTGATAACACCCAGAAAAAGGTAAAGTTCCATTGGTGGTATCGATTTCAGCGCGAGAGTTTCCTTAGTTGCGGCTATATATGGTTCGTGAATGACATTTCCAAATTTTTTTGGCCTTTTTAATGTCAGAACAAGCCTCTCTAAATTCCGAATCCTTCTCAGGATTCCAGGATGAGCAAGTTGACTTGACTCAGCATTACACCAGGTGCATGGATGTGCAGATGCATGGGGTTGAAGTCCACATAAGATGTTGGACAATTTCATGTCACAGTAGTGCTGATATTGATGCATGAGAGGATTTCTTTGATGTTGTTGTAGTTTTCATGGACATCTTCACAAACAGCAACCAAGAGTTGTTGCTTCACACCTGTATCTTTAGATGATTGGCTTGTCAAGAGGTGCTTGTAAGAGGAAGAGTTGACTTTGTCATTGTCTTTGAGCTCGATGACACTTAAGCAGACTTTGAAAAATCCACCACCTTTAATAATACCAAGTTTGGTGAAGTTTTCTGTAAAGATTTTTCGTGATAAAAGTACTTACTCAGCTGATAAATTCTTGCAATGAATGGCAAATCTTGCAATCTTTTGGTGTCTAGAATCAGTAAAAGATGTCACTAATCTGCAAGTAAAATGGCCAACAAGGCTCTTTCCAAGTTCTACGAACTTTGCATTGATATTGGACTCCAAAATCTTGACTTTGGGTATTTGGTTCAGTATTGTAATTATTTTTTTTAACTCCAGAGTTAGATATCCCGGTGTTTGCTTGAACCTGTGCAAGATCTTTTGCAGTGACATTAGGTTTATCATCTAAAAGTCGTCTGGCACTTGAAGGGCCTAAAATTAGAACATAGATTTTGTTCAAATTTGAAAAAATAATTTAATTAATCTTAGTTAAAATGTTTTCATTCCTGGAGTAAGAGCAAGGGCCACCTAAAGCATCAATCTCACAGTACCAAATGAAGAAGCTTCTTTACTTTGGATGGCTGACCAAGCAATTTCATCTGCAACTTTTGAATCTTTTGAAGCCAGCTGATAGATATTCTCTCTAAATGTTGAAGTTGAACATTTATGAGGAAATCCCTGCCAAGAATTGTGAGGCAGGTTGAACATCTTCTCCCTGTTAAGCTGGTTAGTGGCTTTTCCGTAGTTTCCAATGGATCCTTTTCCTTTAACTTTAAACGTCCTATTTGGCAAATAAGACATTCACAAAGTTGTCGTCGCGTAGTCATGGCCACAATGATACTTTGAAAGTCAAACAAAAGGTGGCAAAGTGACAGCTTGGCCTTCGTCTTTATTTTGAGAGCAACCTGGCATGGGTCACAAGTGCCTGTTGGCACGCGAGCATCTTCAAGATTGTAAGTTTGTTGGTAAATTTTCTGAATCCTTTCAATCAAAAAGCTTGTCAAGGGTCGTGATGATTTTTTCAGACACATAAAGCACACGCATAGCCGATTTTCATTGTGATTTCTAGGATAATTTGGCATTTTTAGCTTAATTTTTGAGAAGACAAAAATGCGATGAATAATCAGAAATGTTGATGAAAGAATATGCCTTTTCCCGGATTTCGCTGAATTTAATGCCAACAATTTGAAGGAAAATAAAAGTTTATGCCAAAGCAAGCAAAATTTTATAAATTTTATTTGTAATACTTTAAAATATTTAATAAATTTAATCTATAACTTTTATTCGCATTTTCGCAAATTTAATCTATAACTTTTATTCGCATTTTCGCAAATTTAATCTATAACTTTTATTCGCATTTATTAAAATTTTATTCGCATCGGTTAAAAATGTTTACAACACATTTTGAATTAAAAATTATCCAGGTTAACTATAAATATTTCATTGTATTGCCAAAAATACTTAAATATATAGTAACAATTTAAAAATTAATAGATAAACCGTTGTTATTATTTTTTGTGTACTATAAAAATGCAAAAAAATATTGTATGCTGTCATTTCTGAATTATGTGCAAAATAAAGAAAATTTAAAATTAGTTTTATTTTCTCGGACGTTATTAAACCATTTCATGCTCAATGGCTCTGATCTGTCTAAGCTGAAACTAAAGCATTGCCATCCGAAACAGATGATGACAAAGATAATGTGAAAAGACAAACCTTTGATCTTGACATTAAATGAGAAGCTGGACATGGCCATAGATATTGAGATGAAGGTAAAAACAGCACCAAAATCAAATTAAAATATTAACGATTTGAACAAAATGATACGAAAAGAAATTTCTTGTTTGAGGAAGTAGGTACACGTGGTACCAACTTGAAGTTGATATACGATTATACGTAGAAGGTGAACGGGCATTCGCTTTAATGGGAATGTTATATACAAAAATTCAATTATCTCTAAATGACAAAACTTTAAATAACTTGTTTATAATTAATGTTTTTTATTTTGGTTTTTTCAAACAAATTAATTTTATATATTATTTTAATTTAAACGATAATGTTTGGGAATCATTTTTTTGTTTTTTTGGGTTTAAATTAAAGTTTTTTTTAGTATTTTTAAATACCGATATTAAAATTGGTATATCGGTTTTCACTAAATCTAATATCGAAGTACCTGTATTTAATTTTTGATTCATTATTGAAAGCCCTAGTCAATTGTTGGCTTGAAAGTAAAGCAAAAATAGGTGAGAACTTATGCTGCAAGCAACATGAAATAAGCAATGACACTTTCAAAGCATGTAACATGATAATTTGTGTCACATGTCAAAGATATATGGCAGATATGTCTTTAATTAAAGAAGAAATGTCCTCTTTTTTTCAATCCCAAGGTCTGCCATTAGAAGCAACACAAACGCTGAAAACCTGTGGAAAATACAATTCAAAGATTCTTTCCATCTTGATTAAAATTTCCAGATCCATTTTTCGCGTTCCTACATCAAGTTCCCCGTCTGAAAGGGTTTTCAGTTCGTCAGGAAATATTTTAACTTGTAGAAGGGAAAACCTTTGTTTTGACACAATAAGACAATTGGTGTTTTGCCATGAAAACTTTGAGAATATCAAAGTGAAAAACTGGAAGTTGAATGATTCTGTGAATGAAAAAGAAGCTATGTCTAGGTGTTTTAATATTATTTTGTTTACTTTCAAGAGTATAAACATTATCTGATTTGCCACTGTGTTTTTATTTTCAATGTTACTTTGTTTGCTTTTAAAAAAAATACATATCTGTATTGTTGTATCTTTTAATTAACGGCCGTTAACGAAGTTTAACGTCCGTTAAAATAAATTATTACCGTATCTAAAAATTACCGTTAATAAAATTTAAAGTAACGGAAATTAACGGTTCGCGCAACGCCAACTATTTGTTTGCTTATTAACAAAACTTGTGCAGCGGTTTTCCATTATTAACAATATTTTTTTAACAGTTGCTTTCCATTATTAAAAAAATTTGTGTTAGAGGTTGCTTTTTTTAAAGTTAAATGTGTTGATTTTAATTAGTTTGCAAAAATTAAACTATTGTATATTATCAACGGTAAATGTTTTTAAAATAAGTTAATTAACCTCGCTGCCAACTATCTCTGGTCTTCCCCATTATTTTTTACTTAAAAAATATTTTTTGATAATCATCATACCTGAAATTTTAAGTATTAAAACTGTTAAGTTTTTATGTACATTTATAAATATATTTATAATTATTATTATTTACAATTTAATTTTCATAATTATATCAAAGCATTTCGTAATATTAAAAATAAAAAATATATAAAATATATCGTCAACAAGAATTTTTTAATGCATAATTATTTTTAGAATAATTATAGCAACCATAGTAACATTCATTAGAACTGAAGCTCTTTTTATTCTTGAATTTTATTTCTCTATAACGGAAAATTGATTAATTTGCCGAACATAAAGTTTGTCAATGCAAATTACTACCTTCTGTCAAATCTAGCTAACGCACCTAACGTATCTAACGTATTTACAAACTACTTTTCTTATGTGTATAAAACAGATATTAATGAGGCAAGTACGGTTTCAGACAATCTGCAATTATGTTTGCCATTTTAGTATAACCTTCTGGAGTCATATGTAAATGGTCATCCCATAATTTTGATTCTTGTTCAGGTCCTAATGCATGGCGTGGCATTTTTTTATCTATGTCACATAATACAGTTTTACCGTTGCTGTTTTGTGCAAATTTTCGAAGAGATTCGTTTATTTTCTGTCTCATTTTTAATAAAGGTTTATAATCGGGCCAGGCTTCAATAGAGTTTTCGGGAACGGTGAGTAGCAGTGTGTGAGCACCACTATTATATGCTATCTGATGAAGCTTTTCAATGTCTTTAGTAATTCTTGGTTGCCATACATTTTCAAGTTGACTCATAAATTCTTGATCATCTGCAAAATTTTTGACATGAAGAATATCATTAGTTCCTCCAAGAATAATTACCCAATCATATTCATAAGTTGCATTACCCAAAACTAATGGTAGACGGCTTACCATTTGCTTGTGAGTCATTTCACCTACTATTCCTTTAGCTTCAGTGTAAACTGGAATGCTCGATTTAACATTTAAAATTTTTTGAAGTGGTGTACAATAAGGGAAAAATCCCTTGCCATGGTTATTATAACCAGCTGTTAAGCTATCGCCAAAACATAATATTCGAATGCGCTTTGGGTCGTGAAGCGCAATTACGTGCGGGTGAACTGGTGTTGTGCGGTGAGGCGATACAAACGGTGCTTTTGTGGGAACTTTGACTCTTTTTTCATCAAAGATATCTTTAGATATTCCTAAAGCTTTCAAACCTTTAATTATCATATTTAGATTTTCCAAATTCGTTGGATGTACCTTAGCAATATTGTGGGTAGAACTCTGTGTTGTTTTTGGTTTAAATGGAGAACCTGTTTGTTTTTTAGAAGGTAACACAGTTGGCTTTTTTGATATTTTTAAGTGATTGGTCTGAAAAGGGTGTAAAGTTTTTAAGTATTTTATTTTTGGAGTTGTATGATGTATAGTTCTCACAGGGTTAATTGTAGGCGTTTTTTTTATTGATATTGTTGTTGGAAGGAGAACTATTGGTGGCGCTGATGTTGTTTTAACTGTATAATTTGCAGATACGGATTTAACTACTGCAGGCAGAATTTTTGCAACAATGCTTTCAATGTTTAAGCTCTCCAGTTTTTGCTGTTTCATTAAGTCAACGTTGTCGATTTCAGCACCTAGCATTCCATTAGTTCCAACTGGTCGTGGAATGCCATCTTTTTTAAAGACATTACCATTTTGGTGGTTGATTTTTTTTTTGTAATTTTCTTTTTTACTTCGATAATGTATTTGACTTCTTGAATACTTTTCTTCTCCGCTTTCATCTATATTTGAGAGTAAAATAAAAAAACTTTGAGTGTGTAAACACATATTTATATGTGTGTATATATATATATATATATATATATATATATATATATATATATATATATATATATATATATATATATATATATATATATATATATATATATATATATATATATATATATATATATATATATATATATATGTATATATATATATATATATATAAACATATATATGGGAAACATTATCAGTCGGCAATAGCCACCCATAATAAGTTTTGCTCACAAGAAATAAAGTGGGAGGATGTTAAAAAAATTAAAGTGGAAACAAAAAAGTTTGATCGAAAAGTGCGCGAAGCTCTTGAAGTACAGAGGTATAAATGTTCTTCTTTATATGGTGGCATTAATCTAGATAACGGGCAATTTGTTAAAACTAAATTTTGGACTCCGTTTTTTACATTTTTACGTAAGCAAGAAAGAAGCCATTTAATTGCTGACGTCAGTTAATTTTCAACTGTTTTTAACGTTAAAAAAATTTTGTATTAATTTTTACGAGCTGATGATGCTGGTTACCATAATCCAGCGAAAATTTCTAATAATAAATTATCATTTCTATTAAGAGAATTTGTATTATTTGATGTTTTCTTATTAATATATATATATATATATATATATATATATATATATATATATATATATATATATATATATATATATATATATATATATATATATATATATTAGGAGTCATTTAAATAAAATTATTTACTTTTTAACAATGTTTTTTTTTATTAAAGTTGTTATTTAAAATAAAACTTTTTTAAAAATTGATTTAAAAGGTTTAAGCACTGTTTTTGTATATAAAAAGTAAAATACTAACTTATTTTAAAATGATCTTTATTAAATAAAAAGAACTTTTTTTCATGACTTTAAATTCAGTATCAATCAACTTTTTTTTTTTTTTTTAGGTGTCCGAAAAAGTCCTTATAGTCTTATCCTAGAGCACCGTGCAAGAGCATCTAATAGGAAGTTCACGCCTTCTTCCCGAACGGTGTCACAAAACTTGCCCAGAGATGGTGTTCGAACTGCGGATCTAATGTTCTTAGACAAGTACACTACCGTTGCGCCACAGTTGCTTGATAACTTTTTTGTTCTGAAATTTCTAAATCGAAGTATTTCCCTGAGAAAAATCTTCCCAAGAAAAAATCTCCCGGAAAAAATCCACCCAAAAGAAAAAATCCTCGCAAAAAAATACTTTTGCCTACAACTAACTATGACGGAACACTTATCTTTGTACATTAGATTTGCATCTTTTTTGTTTTCTCATTTAAATTAATATTTATATATATAAATATTAATTTAAAGTAATATTTATTATTTACCTATATATATATATATATATATATATATATATATATATATATATATATATATATATATATATATATATATATATATATATATATATATATATATATATATATATATATATGCTCCCCCATTGCTTTGTTTAAACTTAATTCTATACAAATTATTTCGCTGGATAGTTTAATACAATTTTTATGATAAATATTTAACACTTTAAATATTAGCTATAACATTTTATAGCTATTTTCATACTTGATTTTTTAACTAATCGGTTAGACCGTCAACCCAAGCCATAACCCTTTGCTTATATATAAACACTATGCGTCCCTATTTAGTTAGGCAATATATTGACACTCCACTGTACAAGTCCCTATTTTAGTCAGTCAAAATGTAAACACTCCTCTGCGTCAGTCCCTATTTTAGTTAGTCGATAAATGGTCATTTCGCTGCGTCGTCCCTATTAAGTTCAGTCGATATATGGACACATTACCGCGTCTTTTCATAATAAGTATTAAATTTCTAATATGTATTAAAATTTTTATAAACTTTTTTATAGGAAGAGGATTTTTTCCGGTGGGAAGTTGTTCTCAGGAGGATTTTTTTCGCGGGGGATTAATTCGGAGGGATTTTTCGCGGAAGATTTTTTCTTTTAATCTTTTACTTAATAAAAGATTAACCAGTATTTTAACTCTCTTTTTAAACTATTTAATTTTAAAAATTAGTTTGAACTTACCGCTCTCGTCTCCGCTTTCTCCTACATTATATGAAGGTAGTATTTTCTTTTGATCATATTTATTATGTTGATGAATCTTCGTATGCTGATGATTATAAAAATGATAATTCCTCTTCCTAAAATGCTTCGATTGGTGATTAACTCTACCATGTTCAACATCTTTTTTACCCTCTTCTTTGCGTTTCATGACACTGTTTTTTTTATGTTTGTCATCACCATCTTTTTCATAATTGACGTTATCATAATTTTTGTACTTAGCGCTATCATGTTTTCCGTGTTTGATATTATATTCATGATGATGTTTCAATAATTTTATCTTATTTTTTTCGTGATAATGTGTGTTATCGTTGTGATTACTTTTTACTTTAAGTAGTTTGTGTTTATGAATTTTATGAGAATGTCTTAAATTATGTTTTCCTTTTTGTTTCTCTCTATTATTAAAATATGTTTCCTGATCTTCTGAATGATTCTCTTCTTCCTTTTTAATTTTATCATTTATGTTGTGAGTGGTATCATACTCTGATTCTTCTATATCATTTTCAGTTTTGTCAAAGTTATTTTCGTATTTAGGATTTGATTTGTGATTTAATTTGTACTTATGATTTGAATCATACTTGTGATTCAATTCATAACCGTGATTTGGGTGGTGTTTATAATTTAGATTTTTGCTCGATTGTTTTTTTAATATCTTTTGTGGGTAAACGTTTTTTTTGCCTTTGAATCTACTCATAATCATGTTTCCTTCTTCATCTTCTCCTTTTGTGTAATAATCATCATTACCACTGTAATCATCTGATACTTTTTGTTCATCTAAAATCTTCTGTTCGTTCAATTGATATTCATTTGGCTCCATTGCGTTGTTTAAAACTTGACTTATTTCATGCTTAGCAAAATTTCCGATTTTTCTGTATCCTGCTCTCTCGTTAATATTTCCTTCAGAGACTTTTTGGAATTCTCCATCAAAGTTATCATAATCAGTTTTTTTGTCATCTTGATATTTTGAGGTTGGGTTCAAGGTTGGGTGTATTTCACTTATATCTTTTAGATGCATAGTTGTTGGTTCTACTTCTTTTAATACAGTATTTGAAATTAAACTACGATCTTCTACTAAAGTAGAATAGTTAGAATTAACATCTTCTAACTGTGGCATTTTTTGGTCAATTAGTTGAGGAACTATATCTTTTTTAGCTGAATCATGATCGTTGTGATTCTCATTATTTGATTTTAAATTATTTATCTCCATAATATTTTTAATAGTATTAATAAGTTCATTTTCCTTCTGAGCCTTGGTTTCTTTTTGGATATCATTTTTAAACTTAGCCATGATTTTTACTAAATCTATAAGATCAGTCGTTGTTGTAACCTTATTAGGTGAAAGAGTGGTGATTGGTGGGACACTTTTATTTTTTTTATCTTTTTTATTAAGTGTTTTTATTTCATGCTTGGATTTTTTTTGACGATTAGATGTAATTTTGTTAACTTTATTTGTTAGAAGATTTTTTACTTTTGCTGTTGAATGTACTTTATTTTTTAATACTTCTTTCATTTCAATATTTAAAACAACTTTTTTTGCCGGAGGAGGTGTGATTTTTTTAGTGGTTTGTGAGTATTGAAAACTTAACCAATCTTTACCCTAAAATAAATTTTTATGTTATTCAAACAAAGATATGGCTTTATATATATATATATATATATATATATATATATATATATATATATATATATATATATATATATATATATATATATATACATATATATATATATATATATATATATATATATATATATATATATATATATATATATATATATATATATATATATATATATATATATATATATATATATATACATATATACATATATATGCGTACTTAAATGAGATTCCATTCGATTCTGGGATTTAATACAATTCCATTCAATTATGAATGAAAAAAGTAACAAACTTTGGAAACTCCTTTAAAACTTTAAGTACTTGATTAGGAAAAAAAAGCTTTTAAAAAATGAAACTTTTCAGTACCATTTGCTTGATTTCGTTTGTTTTTTTAAATGTGTATTTTATTGAAATAATTATGGAAATGGTTTTAGAAATGATTTTGGAAATAATTATGGAAATTATTACAAAAATTATAAAAATGTAGTTGTAGTAATGTAGTTACCTCTTCCCCACTAGCACTACCACTTCCACTTTCTTCATTTTTGTCCTTTATTTCTTTGAGTTCTTTTTTTGGACCTTTGTGCTCCATGTTATTTACCAAGTCTTCTTCTTTACACGCATTAATTGAGAATACCTTCTTACTTCCTTTTCTTTCTTGCTTTATTGATAAGCGACCAGTATTTAACTCATAATTTATATCGGTGCATTTAACTTTATTAAAGTTTCCGTGCATTCTTTCACATGTTCTGATCGTATAGAAAATAATGCCTTTTTTTTTCAAAGGTCCTTTTATAATTTTTACCACAGTACCATATTTGAAGGTTTTTATTATAATGCAGTTTTTTACTTTAAAAGTTTCAATTTTTTTATTTGGCTGTTTATATTTGTCTATCTCCCTTATTTTTTGAGTTATTCGTGACAGCAACATTGATCTATCAAAACGATGAGATGGTTTATTAATTTCATGCTTTTTTTTAGAATTGCTTTTGAATACATTTTTTTTAGTGTTTTCAGTTTTCTCTTTTCCTTTAATTTTATTTAATAGGCTCGATTTTTTGTCTTGATGTATCAATATCTTTTTTCGAATGTTTGTTTTGTGTCGAGTTCTCTTTCTCTTTTTGTCCTTTACATTTTTTGCTAAAACTGTTGGTTTACCATGAAAAAAAAATGGCTTTGACGGTCGAGTTGTGTGCGATATATGATTTTTATTATTTGCGTGTAGTTGTTTTTTTAAAGCTTTTATTTTTTGTAAATACGATAATTTTTTAGTTGGTCTGTCAAAAATATCATTTGGTTTTATCTTTTGTTTTAATGCGGGTGTTTCATCTTTATTGTTTTGCTTCTCAAAATAATAGTCGTTGTCTTTCTTTTTGTCTTCAGTGTTATCTTCATCATTATCATCATGATCGTTACTGTAATCGTTATCATCATGATTGTTATTTTTGTGTTTGATGTTATCTTCATCATTATCACCATGTTCGTTACTGTAATCGTTATTTTTTTTATAGATATTATTTCTGTCGTCGAGTTCCTTTTTAAGATGTGTTTTATCTTTTTTTATATCATTACTGTCACTATCAGCGTTCCCGTCATCATTTTCTTCACTATCATCATAATCGTTATCTTCATCAATTTTATTTTTTAGTTCTTGGAAACTTTCTTGTCCATCTTCACTGTAACTATTAATGTCTTCTGTGTCTTTTGATAATATATGTTGAGTTATTTTATCATCATTACTATTATCTTTATCTCTTGATAGTTCAAAATGGATTTTTGCTTTGCCGCCGCTGTTATTATTGTCATTGTTATTTTTTGATTGTTTATGGTGGTTATTTTCAAAATTATTCAGAGCTTCAATCAAGTCTTTTTGCTGGCCATTAGTTATATGTTGAGGTTCTCTATTCATTTTTCGGTGTCGGTGAAAAAGCTCTAAAAGTGAATAACGACGGTGTGTGGGTTTTTCTTCCAAAAAAGTAGAAGCATATTTTTTTCCGTCAGAATCAAGTATTTCATCAGATAATTTGTTTTCTTCTGTTTCAGCGGAATAACTTTGAGTTGGAGTTTTTTCTAAAGATTCATAACTTTGTCCTACTTGATCTTCTATTAACTTTAATTTATTGTTATTGTTTACATTTTGATCTATCAACTCACGAGGAAGATCAAAAACTTTTTCACTCTCCTCGTGTTTTCCGAAAGCTTCGTCTAAAATACCATGCTTTTGAGTTTCGATTAAACCATCATTTTTATAGTGATAATTTTCAACATTGTTTAAATCATTTGCACTAATAAAACTGTGATGTTCCTGATCCCAAAGAAGTTTTTCCGGATAATTTAATTTGATATCAAGCATATTTAACGGTGAAATAGAAGTGTCTGGGTGTGGAAAATTAGTTTTATCTACTGATGGAGTTGTTTGAAGTGGAGTTGTTGAAGTTGTTGTTGATGTTGTTGTTGTTTGACGCTTTGTTGATGTCGGCTTTTCAGTTGTTGTAGTTGTGTGCTCAATTAAAGTAAATGAAGAAGACTTTTTCTCTTTATTTTCATATTTCTTTTTTTTAATTTTTTTTCTCAGTTTAAGCTTGTGTTTACGCTCTCGTTTTTTTTTACTTGTTAGATTAGTACGATGATGTTGACGATGACGATCTCTTTGACGTTTATCAGCGTTTTGGTTGTCATCGAAGTTATCATGAGTAGGTTTGATTGTTGCATTGGTTAAGTTTATGTTTATAGATATTTTATTATTCTTTGCTGATATTAAGTTATCAATGTCATCTTCGTTATCATCGTGAATTGGTGTTGGTTCCATATTATCATGTATAGCTGTAGGAAACATTTTTATTCTAGAAAGTCTTAAAACGTTTGGCTTTACTTCTTCGGGGTTTGGGTTACGATACAAGTTTTCAATTGAATCAAACGGCGGTCTTGAAGGATAAGGATCTTTTTGAACATAATGTTTAAGATAATTTTTTCCTTCATTAACTTCAATAATATCAGATGTATCTAGATCGTTATAATTTCTACTTGGGGAAATCTGTCCTATGTAAGACGAGAACAAACTAGCAGTTAAAGGTTTTATTGTTGTATAGACTTCATCTAAAAAATCAATTGGTTTTAAATAAGAAAACTCAGAAATTTGGCTGGAAGGAATTTCATTTCTTTTAAAAGAGCTTTCGGTAGTATAAACCCAGTTAAAACCATTCCAAATAGGATTTTGATTATATATTGGCATTGCAGTCTTTGTGTCAAAAACTGGCTTTTTTGACCAAATCCATGTTTGACCGTTCCACACAGGGTATTGCAAAAAATTGCTAAATGTTGATTGATACATCGGAGGTTTAATTGTAACTAGTGTTCTTAATGTCGGAACCTTTATTTTTGATGTATCTGTGGTTGTTGTTGATGACGTAGTAGATTTGGTAAAAGTAGGTTTTTCCGTTGTTGTCCTTTTTGTAGTTGGTTTGATCTTCGTTGTTGTTGATGGTGGTGGTGGTTTTGGAGTAGGTGGTGTTGTTGTTCGTTTTGTTGTTGTTTCTGTTGTTGTTGTTGTTGTTGTTGTCGTTGTCGTTGTTGTTGTAGTTGTTGTTGTTTTTGCTGCAGTTGGGGTAGTTGATGATACTAGCGATGTTGCGGCAGCTGGTTTTAATACTGCCGTTTGTTCCTTTGATATATTAAGTATTTGAACTTTAGGAATTATTGTTTTTTTTGTTTGAGAAAAATTTTTATCAACATTTTTGACATCTTCGTTTTTAACAATACTTGAAATATTCATTATTAATTGAGGCAATTCATTTATATATCCTGGAAACGGTTGAAATTGATCAAACTTTGAAGCATAAAAATTTTTTAATTGATTATTTGATTCATTGTTATGTTTATGTTTATGAACCTGATGTTTTGGTTTTGGCACATTAAAAACTGTCACAACTTTATAGAGCGTAAAAGCAAAAACTGCAACAAAAAAAATTACTAAAATGTATAAGGTTAGCGAGCAAAAACTATTGCAACAAATTAATCTGTAAAAAAACTCTCTTATTGAACTTTCTTCTTTCGAATTTTTTTCAAACGGTTTCTCATAGTATTGACTTCTTTGAAGTTTTGGTTGCAACGCAATATTTTTGTTAAAATCTTTATTTTCAACATTTTCACTTTGTACGTTTAAGTTATTAGAAGTCAAACTAGGACTTGCAGAAAAAGTTGTTTTGTATTGATGCTCTTTAGTTTTTGAATCTTCTAATAATTGATTATAATCACCTACGTATACACTTGGATTATCTCTTACTGATTCTTTATTTACTTTTGACTGGTGTGTAATATTTAGTCGGCTCTGCAAATGTGATCGGTTGAGAAGCTCTTGTTTCTTTTTAAGAACTTGACGTTTTTTTTCAAGAAAATCAAGATTTACCTCACTAGGTTGAGGAGCAATAGAACGATCGTCGGCTTGTTGATGACAAAGCTCAGCTTTTTTTGCAAGCTCGTCTCGTTCTGCTTTTGTTGCAAACTTCTTTTTACGTCCTTTTACATAAAGCGGGAGCTGAACAGGACCACTTTCAGAAAGATTTGGATTCTTTATTGACGGATGACCGCTCTCTGAAGTCGAGGTTAAATCCTTTGTCATCAACGGTCCGAAACATTTGTGACCTAAAAATGCGTAATTGTTTTTACATGGAAAAAATAACATTTTATGATATAATTAAAATAATTATGCTAAATAATTGTTTTTTTATGAAAAAATAATTATTTTCTCCTTGGTATATATAATTATTTTCTCCTTGGTTAAACATTTAACATTATTTTTGGCTTTTATTTAGTATAATTACTATTATTATTATTTTTAATTTTACTAATAAAAAAATTTATTTCATTGGACAATATTTACAGTATTAGTTTAATAATGTATAACCATTTTATTTTATTTGAAAAAAAATTATTTAATTGATTTGATTTAAAAAAAACAAAACATTCATTGACATTATTAAACTTTGGATGACAGGAACTGTGTCGAAAAATGAACTTCAGAATAATGTCAAATATATTAAAAAGGCCTAATGTCGCAAAAAAAGGAAGAGTGTGGCAAATAAATTTAATAAAGAGTGTTAAAAACAAACAAAAAAAAAAGGAATAATGTCGCAAATGAGTTTAATGAACAGCGTCAAAAACAAAAAAAATGAATAGTGACGCTAATAGTTAATTTCTTTTTTTTTTTTTTTTATTTGTCATTAAAAAAAAAGAATTCGATGCCGTGTTATATAAATAAAATCTACATAACCGGGGCAAAAAGAAGAGCTAAAAGAATTATCACTACACCCCGACGTGCTTTCATCAGCAAGCGTGTATAACCATTAAAATGTAAACATAAAACATAAAATTACTTTGTACCATTTAAAAAATATACAAATATATACAAATTTGTTAAGATCAGTTACTAATCTATAATCAAAAGAAAATCGTAAAAAAAAAAAATAAAAAAAAAAAGAAATCACACTTAAAAACTGAAGATAAGTTAATAGGATAATTAAAGAAAATTTAAATTGGTTAGACTAGTTATAGGTCCATAATCATCTTTTATTAGATTCATTATAGTTTAACCAATTTTTCTTAATTAATTTTTCATGCTGATTCTGAAAATCACAATTATTTTTTTTTTCATTTTAATTATTTAGCCTTCTACTTCGATTTAAATAAAAGTTAATATATTGACAAAAAAAAAGGCATTTTTAAAAATAGATGAAATTATTATTATCATTAAATATAAGAAAAGTAGAAAAGTAGAAATCTTTTTCTGTTTAATTTATCAATAATATACCTTACGATATATAAGTAACAAAATAATTAGACATTATATATGAAAATAATTCATACAATTTGTTATATACTATGAAATTGGAAAATAACTATAAAAGTCGTCATATGTGATAGAGATTGCTGCGGGAACTTTCCATGTAAAACATCTAGGTTATGAGCGTGTTCTTTGGTAGACATAAGATGGAAGTTTGTATCTTTATATCAACAATCATGTATTTAAACAGAATAGACCTCCGCGACAATGACCTACATTGTATCCCTAAAATAAAGAACCTCATTTATCGACCTTTTTTTTCATTTTAACATATCTTTATCTACTTTAATAATGTCTAGTTTACAGCTTAATGGGCTGCCTTGTAACTTAAATCAAACTAAAATAGAGCTCATCTTGCACACCTGATGTAACGTTTGCTGCTCTTCCATTGTTATCCATTTGTTTTTGTAGCTGGTTTCAATTATATTCCATTAGACAAAAAATTGGACAATAATTTTTCAAAATATATTCAAACTACGTGAACCTTCATTTTTTATATGGTTTAAATAATTAAGTATACATCTACTGTTGAAATTAAATGGATTTTTTCCAAAGCTTTCCAACTGCAACAACTTAATTAGAAAGTTAATACTAATCATATTCCATTATGAACCAAACACATAATACTTTTCTCTTTTTTGAAGTCCTGAGGCTAACTTTTGCCAAAATACTCTAGCAAGAATGATACAATCATTCAACCACTTTGAGGTATACTTGTTAACTGCTTCTAAAAATTTTTTTAACTAGCTATTCACTGCGTTTTAGAGTAAAGCAGAAAATTTCAAAATTTGATCACCCAGTTTGTTTTTATAAAGCCTTTTATTTAGCGGTATTCATTTAGCCTGTTTATCTTTAAAGTTGTTAAACCTTTAGAATTTTACTGAACCTCTTCTGACTGGCACTTTAAAAGAAGATTTATTCTTGACTTCATTAAAGAAAAGCGAGAAAAAAAAAAAAGAAATCTTGAATAGCCTTCTTAATAGCTTGAGCAACGATTAAAAAAAAAAAAAAGGAAATTAAGATATTTTGAAGCAATCTGTCTTTTTGATTACTTAAATCGTTTTGTTTAGAAAGAGACTTCAGATGAAACTTTTTTTTTCTAAAACGCAACGATTAAAAATCAAATTTATCCAATCAAAATTTGAATAGCATAAATTTAAAAGAAAAGTTGCGTAACTTTATACGCAAAAAAATTGGCAAAAACTGAATTGTTTTTTGAACTTTTCTCAAAAAATTAATTAAGAATAATTGGTTAAACAAGAAATATAGAACTTTGGGCACCCCCCTCCCCAACTAGTTAATAAGATAGTTGTTAAAAAAGAAGATAAAAGAATCTTAAAAAGAATTTAATTCATTAACATCGTTAAGAAGTTTTTGTTTAAGTTTTTGTTTAAATAGAGAAAGTGAAGAACAATTTTTCAGCTGGTTATTTAATAAAGTGTTCCATAATTTAGGACCTCTGATGGCAATAGAAAATTTAGTAGCCAAATAGTGTGTTTTAGGTTGCTCGTAAGTGTAATTTGAAAATCGTGTAGGGTACACGTGATTAATTTTATTGAAAAATGTATTAAAAATTATAGGAGTTAATTTATTATGTAGTTTATACATAAATATAAGAATTTGATAAAGGTTTAACTGAAGAACATTGAGTATGTGATGATTTTTGAATAGTTCTTTAGAATGTGCGAATCGACCTGCATTTGAAATAATCCTGACAGCGTGTTTTTGTCTACTAAGCAATTTTTTAACTTTACTTACATTAGAGCTGCACCATCCAATATTTGCATAGTTTATATAACAATGTATGAGGGAGAAATATAAGATTTTTAACCAGTTTTGGTTTAAGACTTGCTTAGCTTTGTATAGTATGCCAATATTTTTCGAAGTTTTATTTTCAATTGTTCTTATGTGTTCTCTCCATGTCATGTTTTCGTCAAGTATCACTCCTAAAAACTTTAATGACTCTCTAACTATTTTAGAGTTGCCAACGTAAAGATCAGGAAGTTTTATTGGAATTTTTTCTTTATTGTGAAGTCTATGAAAAAAAGTATACTTAGTTTTATTTAAATTTAAGGACAACTTGTTTGCCTTAAACCATTCCGCTAGATTAAAAAATTCCTTGTTTACTATTTTAAATAAAAGGTTTATATCTCCATTAGAATAAAATAAATTTGTATCATCTGCAAATAAAATTGCGTTTAAAATGTTTGAAAACTTATGGAAATCTTTTACATAAATAAGAAATAAAAGTGGACCCAGAAATAAGCCTTGGGGAACACCGCAAGTAATAGTCAAGTATTCAGTTTTTATTTCTTCGTGTGTTATGTATTATTTTCTATTGTTTAGATAACTTTCGAGCCATTCTAAATATGTACTTTTAACACCATAACTTTTGAGTTTTTTTATAAGAATGCTATGGTCTACTGTATCAAAGGCTTTGCTAAGATCCAAACTAAGATAGTTATTATTATTTTTAATTTTTGTTATTATTCATTATACTCCTTTAGAACATTATTTCTTTTTTCTATTTTCGACACTTTTCATTAAATTAATTTGCCACATTATTCTTTATTCTGTTATTCGACAATAAATAATGCGATAATTTGCGACACTATTCCTTATTTACATTTTCGACAAGCATATTTGGGACAAAAATTTGCGACAATAAATATTTTTCGACACTATTCCGCCACACCATTATTTTTTATGAAAATCTTTTCAAAGTAGTAGAAAAAAGTACAATAAAAAATTAAATATAAAAAAAACCTCTGCGATTAATGACGTAATTAATGAGATATTGGGCAGATAACTAATTACTTAATTAAAAAAGTTTAATATCAATAGTTTAGATATATTCTGTTCTAATAAAATACTACAAAATCTTTGTTCTAAATAGTGAAAGTAAAATCAAAATTTCCTATTATACTTTAACTCCTAAATGGAAGATAATTTTTTAAAATAATAGTTGGTCCAACATCCAACAAATAATTTGGTTCTGAATTTCATGAAAACTATGATCATTTTACAAATGGTTGCAGATTTCATGTTTTATTCCAAAACTTTTTTGTAAAGGTCAGTCGTAAGTAACTACTTTAAAATATTTGTAAAAACATTCAAAATGCTTATGGCAAGTAGGAAAGGGAGTGATCACACAACTGCTTTGTGTGATCATTCCCTTTCCTACTTGCCATGGTGAATAATACTTCCCTGGTGAATAATACTTACCTAAAGTATTATTCACCAGGTTTGTCGCAATTTCATATTGAGCAAATAAAGACATACGAGAACGTGCAAAAGGGTTTCACAAAAAAATCTTTGGTATAAGCAGTTTAACCTACTGCAGCCGATTTCGGTTGCCTGATTTTGAGTCCCTTAAGAAAACGCCATTAAAATATGACTTATCAACTTGCTCCAAAATTCATCATAACTTGGTCTCAATTGATAAATCTGTGTTTATTGAAAGCAGAAACAACTCGTAAGGTCATAAATATAAACAACAATTTCGCAAGCAACAATTTTGCCTAGATATTCGCAAATACAATTTCTCTTACCAAGTTGTTAACATTTGGAATGAAATGCTTTTCGATGTTGTTAATGCCAATAAAATCAATATCTTAAGAAAAAAATTAACTTATTTTCGAAAAATTTTATTTGAGTTAACTGCATATATAATATTGATATTTTTTCAAATTTGCGGAGCGAGCTGAAAGTGCCCAACAATATGGACCTGCGTGTCCTTTAAAATATGTATCATTTTTTTAAAAATACAATCTAATTGAACTTTTTTTATTATTGTAATAAAAATATTATTTATTTATTTTATTTTGAAAAAAGTTAGATCTAAATTTTTTTTAGTTTATTTCGGAATTTGGCTTTTCTATAGAAAAGCCAAATTCCGAAATAAACTACGAAAATCGAAACTTTTCTTAACGTTTTATCAATTTATATATTAAATATTAATTATTCACTATTTTCATTTTTGTTCATATATACATTTATATATTTTTTTATTTTGTTATTTTGGTGCCCCATAAGACCTAACGGTCTTGTCACAGAGCACCGCGGAAGTGCATTTAACCAGGAAGTTCACGCCTCTTTCCTTACCATCACGCGAAATATGCCCAAGGCTCGTATCGAACCTGCATCTCCTGCTTATAAAGCAAGCGCTCTAACCACTGCGCCACGGCCGCACATATTATTAAGTACCTTTGGAGAACACAAAGAGATATAAAACGTTGCACTTTCATTATTAAAAAAGTGAAAGTGACTGCACTTTGGATCATGTAAAAAAGTAACAAATAAAAAATTAGATCTTTCATTTGGCAGGTGTCATTTAACGTCTTTTGTCTGTTGAGATTTGTAAAGGTTTGGACAACCCTGATTTTTATTTCCCAAAATCATAAAAACTCCATATTCAATGCGTTTTAAACTATTTTTTAAGAATATTTAGCTAAATAGTAATAATAATTTTGGAATAAAAAAAAGTAATTTAGAACAACCTAATAATTGTATCCATGAAACATATTTCAATAGTAAATTTCAACAGTTCAGTATAAAAGTTAAATATAAAAATTTAATGGTCAATAGCAAAATTATTTTATAATTTTAATCAAGTATATTCCAAGTGACTAAATGATGAACCTATATACTTAAATAAGGACTTACATTACGTAATTGCGTTTCTTTTAGATATTTCCATCAAATCCTTTAATTTTATGAACAAAACATTCCGTAAACATTTCCAATGCCTTTAAACTTAACAAACGCTATACTTCTAGCGCCCATATCTTCCAAGCGCAACATGCGTTTATGCCCAACATGCGCTTTAGAGAAAATGCTAATCTGATGCCGAGTTTGTTGTCGCTTTCAAACTACAGACGCTTTAAAATTTTTAAGTTTAAATTTTATATTATTCTCAGTACTTTATTCAAAAAACAGTCGGAGGTCAGAATTGACAACATCAGAATGCTTTCTACGTCTTTTATAAATAATATTTTCTTCTAATAAAATTAGTTTATTAGGTTGCAGAAAAAAATGTGGTGAATGATATTTTTATATAACTTTCTATATATATATATATATATATATATATATATATATATATATATATATATATATATATATATATATATATATATATATATATTATATATATATATATATATATATATATATATATATATATATATATATATATATATATATATACATTGCGAGGGACAGTTTGTCCCGGGCGGAAGATATCCAAGAGACGCCAAATGAAATGTCTTTCATAAAAAATATAGGGAAAATTTGATAAATAAGGGCGCCAATCTGGATTGCTGTCTCAGGCGGCGTGACAGCTCTCGGCGGCCCTGCTAATAATACACAGGAAGTGACAAAGATACTTTTAATTGATACTTCCTGTGTATTATAAGAATTTAATCCATAATAATAGTTTCTCATAGCAACAATATCCAATTAAAATTATTTTTATTTTCTATATAAAAATCTTGCTACAAAACTAAAACAGCACTATTGATGATTTGTTGAAAGGCCTCTAGTGCTTAAAGTTTATTTAATTAATTATATAAAATACTTTGTATTAGTGTATTTTTTGGAAATTAAAAAATTCTTTTAATAATAAATATTTTGAGAAAAAAAGATTTACTTTAGTTTACTGGTTTGACTAGTTAGCTTAGTTGTGGCATAACCGCATATGGAGGCGCAACAGTTTTTTAACATTTCCCTTTTAAAAATGTTATCTAATATGGTAAAAAACATATGTCAAAAAAAGTGCCTGATGCGTTTCTGAGAAGTTGTGCATATTAATGTTTATTTTGATAAAAATATTATTTTAACATCATATTCTTTCAGATCTTTTTTTCAAGGATTGAGCAATATTGGATTTAAAATGAACTGTTGAAAAAATACATTTCGTTTTTATTTTTATATAACATTAATTCAAACGTTACGGGGGCGGCTATGCCCTCGCTTCCCATGTATATATATATATATATATATATATATATATATATATATATATATATATTATATATATATATATATATATATATATATATATATATATATATATATATATATATATATATATATATATATATATATATGTAGTTATAAACTTATCCAATATATATATATATATGTATATATATATATATATATATATATATATATATATATATATATATATATATATATATATATATATATATATATATATATATATATATATATATATATATATATGTATATATATATATGTAGTTATAAACTTATCCAATATATATATATATATATATATATATATATATATATATATATATATATATATATATATATATGTAGTTATAAACTTATCCAATATATATATATATATATATATATATATATATATATATATATATATATATATATATATATATATATATATATATATATATATATATATATATATATATATATATATATATATATATATATATATATATATATATAGTTATAACTTATCCAAATTGTTGTCTAAACAATTTTATGAAATTGTGAGAAATTACAGAACATACATCTAACGTTAACTAATATATTTTAATTGGTTTCAAGTTTATAGAAAAAAAAAACCTAAATTTGGTGAATTAGAGCAATATGGGTAGTTGTTAAGCTGCTCAAAATTCAGGAAAGAAGCGTTCGAGTGGATCATTTTTTGTACTTAGAAAAATAGGCCGAATGAATAAAAATGAGCAATTGCTTTTTTCAGTAATTGGTTAGATTTACGTGAATAAAAGCATTAGTAATTTCGCTTAAGTTTTTATTATTGTTATTTACGTAAAGCTGAACAATTACTGAGTAAATTGCTTAACTTTACGTCATTGAAAATTTGAGCTAAACTCGTGAGGTTTTTGTTTATGTAAAGCTGACCAATTACTGAGTAACACCGGGTGAATAAAATTTGCTCATTTTTATTCACCCGGCCTAATGTCTTAGTAAATTTCTGCATCCTACAAAATACGAGAATAGGTCTCACTTTTTTCTTCTCAAGTTGAAAGCAAATTCCTATTAAGCTCAAATAGTAGAATGGACGAATCTACCGCATCTTGAGCGGAGAGATGTTATGAAACTTAATGTAAACTCTAGGGAATGGTGACAATTCTAATTTTGCTATTACCATAGAAAGTGGTGCCTGTACTAACTTTTTTTAGTGTTGAGAATATACTGCAATTGAATTTTATTTTAGTTTCATTCCAAATAATAATGTAAAATTGTTACATTTCTATATTGATGAATGGAAACACCCTTTCTGAGTCGATTAGCTTACGTCTTCTCGATTAATCATTTACTATTGGCCTCTTATGCAAACCTTAATTACAATTAATTGCAAAGTTAGCATCTGCTAAGTCTCTCTTGTACTTGCTGTTTTCCTACTCCTATCTCCGTCCTCTATCTCCATAAAATGCTTATTTGTCCCTCTATGGAATATTTCTTACTCTCGACTCAATCCTCTAACAATAAAAAACTCTCATTCGTCCCTGTTGTCATACCTAAGCTAGTTCTTCTAATGATGCTTTTTCTCTTTTTAGTCAAAAAAGTATTGTAATTGCAGTTGAACCTGTTCTAGCTGCTAAGCTTGAGCCTCTGTAACATTGTCCTTTTCTTTTCTACAAACACTGCCATGTCACTGCATGGCAGTGTTTGTAGAAAATTGCTTGTTCGTCATTTAATAAAAACAAAATTTATTACAACTTTTCATTTTTCACAAAATATAAAAAAGAAAAATTTTGACCTGAGCTGGTAGAATATAATATCTTTTTATATATGTGTAGAAGTTATTTGCCCGGGTAAATAAAAACGAGTAATTGCTTTTACCTAGTAATTGGTCAGCTTTACGTGATTAAAAGCATAAGCAATTTTGCTTAATTTTTTATTATTATTATTCACGTAAAGCTGAGCAATTACTGAGTAAATTGCTTAACTTTACGTGAATAAAAATTTGAGCAAAACTGGTGAGGTTTTAGTTCATGTAAAGCAAACCAATTACTGAGTAAAAGCAATTGCTCATTTTTATTCACCCGGCCTATAGTTTTTATATAACTTGATAAAATCAATTTTCACAAATGTGGTCTCCGGTAGGTTAATGAAACAAAGCTTTTGGTCAAAAAAAGTTACTCATTACTTATTTTGGTACTTGTGGTTAAATGAGTTAAAAGTGAGCTGTTAAAACTTTTTTCTTTTATTTAGCAAAGAAGAAACAATGATGTATACAAAATATGTATACACCCGTCTAAAAATTGTCCGAGAAAAACGCCTTAATTACTAGAGCGAACAAAGTGAATGGTATAAATGTAATAATAAAGTTGGCTATATAAAATCTTTACATAATATTATAAGTGATTAAACTAAATTAAAGAATTAAAAGGCGATCCAACTTTTATAGGAGTCTACAAAAGTATGTTAGAAATTTAAAGTTTACAGTAAAAATTATCGCGATGGTTCACAAAGAGTATAAATTTAAGCTTAATCTAAGATGTGCAAATTCAGGAAAGATTCTTCTATACCTCCCATATTTATTCAGAGTCTCGAAGTTCTGTAAACATCTCAATAAGCAACATAAAAAATTAAAATTTACTATGGAAAAAGGGATAGTTGCATTCAAGGTTCTATATTTAGATGTTTTTATTAAAAACGTTTCGTTTTACATCAGTTTATGACAAAAAAAAATTGATGATACAAATATGATACTTTAAGGGTTATACAAACTCCATATTTAAGTATGTTTATTAGGATGGGTTGTACTTTTAAAATTTTGGATATGGGAGCGCGTGCAACATTTTTTTATGTATTAAGATTATTGATATTAGAAAAGATGTGAATAATTTTTTTTTTCTTTAAAAGTTTATCTAGTGTGGGCGCAGGTTTGAAAAATATCAGTTTTACGAAAAACTTATCATATTGCTATTTTTCGGCTTTTTATATATTAGCTAAAGGTAAGGCAATTATCAAAAAGCAATCAGACAAAATATAGACTAATTTAAAACATAATATTCGGTGCTACTTTCCTTAATGCTATACAAACACGGTAGGTGTTAGAAAAGTTGTGTACCATTATAGGTTTTACAAAAAAAATATCTGTATATAAATGTTAGAAATGGGATTGCGCGCAATATTTTTTTTATGTATTAGGATATTAGAAAAGACGTGAATAATTTTTTTTTCTTAAAATGTTTGTTTTGTGAGGGCGCAGGGCGTTTAAAAAACGACAGTTTTATTAAAAACGCATCAAATTAGGACTTTTCTGCCTTTTTTTCATAAGCCTATGGTGATGCAATCATCAAAAACAACTATATAGACATTAAAATAAAACTTTTAAAATAAAAATTTTGTGTGCTATACTTCATAAAGCTATACAAAAATGTAAACATAAGTATACCGTGTTTGCTTTAGAATATTAGAAGAGGTAAAAATTTATTTTCTCTTTAGAAAATAAATAAGATAGTTCCTGCAATATTTCACAAACTTTCTGAAGGGTTAAAAATTTATTGGTCTTAAATAAAATGTCATCTAAAAGACACAATATGTTTAAAGCTCAACTTATTTACTGAGATTATAAATAAAATCCATAGCAAAACAACAACAAAATTTATACTGCCTAAATTAATTTAAATAGATCTTTTTTGATTGGTTTACGGGCGTGATTTCTCGATGTGCTAATGTTGCTCTGATGAACCCATCTCTTCTACCTTTTTCAGATACCAATTGAGAAGATCTTGTGACTTCTTGAACAAATCGTTCAATAGCTTGCCCATGAACAGGAAAACAAGGTAGA